ATTAATATAATCTTCATTACACACAGTACAATATGACTCCTAATTCTGGGATTGCAGACTTTTCCATATAATATGAATAAAAATAAGCAATCGAAAAGGAGAAAATAAACAAATAGAGAGAAAAATAAAAATGGGAGCAAATAAAAAAATAAAAATAAAAGAGAAAAGAATGCGAGATCATGGGATCATAGAACGATAGGTAAGAAAAAGAAAAAGTAAGAGAGAGAAGTGGAAAAATAGAAAATGTACATGTAGGATATTTTTTAAAAAATATATCTCAACTGTTGTTTTATAATTTGAATAGATCTGAGCCGTCCAAATTCCCTAATAGGACAAATATGTGTAAGACAAATTCAAAAACCATCATACTTTATTATTATATAGATGTTGAAGATTCATATAAGATCTAAATTTATAAAGTCTATAAAGTATTCAATATATTTAAAAACAATAATTAATTGTTGAAATTCATTTATTTTGTGGACTATAAAATTCATTAATTTAACCTCCACTACAAACAGTAAAATCTGGCTCCTAATTCTGGAATCGTAGACATTTCCATATAATATGAATAAAAATAAGTGAATAAAAAATAAAAAATAAAAAAATAATAAACAAATAGAGAGAAAAATAAAAACAAGATAAAATAAAAAAAATAAAAAGAAAAGAGAGAGGAATGCGGGATCATGGAAGGTTGGGTGAGAACAGGAAAAAGTAAGAGAGAGAAGCGGAAAAATAAAAAATGTACATGTAGGATATTTTTTAAAAAATATATCTCAACCGTTGTTTTATAATTTGAATAGATCTGAGCCGTCCAAATGTCTTAGTAGGGCAAATGTGTGTAGGACAAATTCAAAAATCATCATACGTTATTATATGTATATATATATATATATTATTATTAAAAAGTATTTCGTTAACTTATTAATAATCCAAAAATATATATATATATATATATATATTTCATAAATATTAGCAAAAATATACACTTGCATATATACCTATAAAATATTAATTTAAAATGAAAATTAACTGAAATTATTTTATTTTAATAATTTTTACTTTTTCCAAAAGATAATACATATTCTGCAATTACTTTCTTGGTAACATTACATATTCATATTCATTATACTCATAAATTAATTTGGTTTATGGGTAAGACTCTTTATTGGGTTTAAAAGAATTGTAATGTGTGAGAACCATGACAGTTTTTACAAATAAAAAAAATATAAATAAATAAACTCTACCTCTATTACTATACATTAGATTAGATCAGATGTCAAAATATTGTGAAATATTTATAAATGAATGCCAAAAACTAAAGTACAAAATAGGAATTCAAAAACCAAAAAAAAAAAATTTGATGGTATTGAAAGCCATTTGATACCAAAAGCAATTACGAACGTTCGTTTCATCAAAATAGTATTAAGTACAAACACACATTTGGTTTGTCTAGAATAATAATCATATACTAATAGACATTGATTCATTACAAAGAGAAGAAGGTGAGGAAAGAAATAATTACATAAATGCAAGAAACTGACCCCTCAACAGCCAATCTTCTCTACTCAAAAAAAAAAAAAAAAGTTGAAGTACTCAAAAAAAAAAAAAAAGTTGAAGGAAAAGCAAAAAATGAACGGCAAATTACCTATAACTCCCTTGAAATTTAGTTAAATTACAGATTTTTTTTGAAATTTTAAAAATTACATCCTGCCTCCCGAAATTTATATTCACATCACAATTTAACTCCAATCATTAAACGTTAAGAATGGTTAACTGACATAACCAAAATATACATTGATGGATGATATTGTCCCTATTGAAATCCCTTTGATAAATCAACAAAATTTACAAAAGAATTACGTTAAAAAAAAAATCAATTTTTTGAAACCATGTTTAATTTGTTGTTTAGAAAAAAAATTCAAAATTTTAAAAAATAAAATAAAAACTAATTTAATAAAAATAAATATGAAAAAAATATATTTAATTTGTAAAAATTATTTCTAATCACTCAAAAATATAATTATATAAAAATAATAATTATTTTTTATTTTTTACTTCTTAACCAAATTAATTTTTAATTTTTTAAAAAAAATTAAAAATAAATTTCTAAAAATCAAACCAAACATATTCTAAGAATTTTTTGACAAGTCATTTCTAGTGTTTTTAATTTATTTAATTATTTGTCAATTTTATGATATTTTCACCATCTGACACTACAACATATAAGAGTTTTAGAGACCAATTTTTTTGATCTCTAAAAGTGAAAATTTTGTTGCAAAAGACGTTTAGAAACTAATTTCTATCGTCATGAGAATAGTCGCTAAAGGTAGCTCTGAAAAGTCAAAAATAAAATTTTTAGTGATAAAATTTCGTAAATGTCAATAATAAATAAACTTGTAGAAACAAAATAATTTAGTCTCAAAATTGTTTATTTTTTTAGACAAAAAATTTGATACCAAAAAGATAATAATTGATCACTAATGTTCAATTTTTGTTGCTAAAAATATAATGACGACATTTTTCGCAACAAAAATATTTGGTCCCCTAAATGTAATTTTGTCCTTAAATTTTGGTCTCTAAAACCTTAATTTTTTGTAGTGTGATAAGTATTTTTCCATTTTAATTGTGCATTTCATAACTTATTTAAAAATGATAATTTAGCTAAACCTCAGGAGAATCTGTAATTTAGCTACACCTCGGGAGGAATCTGTAATTTAGCTAAACCTCAAGGGGGTGTAGGTAATTTGTCCTTATTTGTCAAAAAGGCATTTTAGTCAATTTATGATATCTGTTAACGGCATTAATTGCGATGGGACGGAATATAATTTTTGAAAATCTCAAGGGAAGTGTAGGTAATCTGTCCTAAAATAAAATGAACAACACAAAAATATGAATTTTGTCGAGATTCTAGTTAACCATACTTAAAATGAATCTCAACCACACATTGATGTGATCCAAATTTGGGTTAGTAAGAATTATTAGAGAGATCAACAGCAGATTGTCTTTCCCTTTCAAAACACACCCCACCCCACCACTTCTCATCCACAGGCAAGCAAGCAGTACTTACTTTTTCTTTCCTTATTCACTTTTTCTTATTCTTCAAGTACCCCTCTCTCCCTCTCTCTCTCTCTCTCTCTCTCTGAAATCCAGGTTGGTGAAGATGGTGTTGTTTTGAGTACATTGAGTATTCTCCAAACTTTATTTCACTTGCTTTACACGTACTCTTACCGGATTCTTATACTACTCATCCTCATTTTCTGTTTCTACTTTATACATCATTTTATTTTTTGGGCATTGAAATTTTAATGTTAATGCACTGTAATCACCTGATCTCTAACATGTCATGATGTGTGCATTTTCCCTCTTTGATTCATGAAGATGTTCTTCAAGTAATCTCTCTCTCTATTTATATGTTCCAAGTGACAGAATCTGTGATTTCAATCTGATCGATAACCAGTTCTATCCAAAGAAAGTGCCACCATGCCTTTTGGATTGGTCTCAGCATGGAACAAGCGAAGGAGAAGCAAGTCCGAGGATCACATTGACCCTTGTGTGTTCTACCTCTACTTGTTCTTCTCATTTCTAGTCCTTCTTGTATCATCATCTTTTTAAATGTTGTTCATATTTTTAATGTTTTGAGGGTACCCTGGCTTTTCAGGGATATATAAACCTGTGGAGGATTGGCAACTCAAGGATCATAACCCACCTGCTAAAAGACGACATGGATCATCAGTTTTCACACTCAAGGAAATGGAGGAAGCAACAAACTCTTTCAGCGAGGAAAATTTAGTTGGGAAAGGAGGATTTGGCCGAGTTTACAAGGCCATTTTGCGGTCTGGAGAGGTAATCTTCAACTTTTCTTATCAAGGTAGTCCCAAAAACAAAAAATCAAACCAAACATATTCTAAGAATTTTTTGACAAGTCATTTCTAGTGTTTTTAATTTATTTAATTATTTGTCAATTTTATGATATTTTCACCATCTGACACTACAACATATAAGAGTTTTAGAGATCAATTTTTTTGATCTCTAAAAGTGAAAATTTTGTTGCAAAAAACGTTTAGAAACTAATTTCTATCGTCGTGAGAATAGTCACCAAAGGTAGCTCTGAAAAGTCAAAAATAAAATTTTTAGTGATAAAATTTCGAAAATTTCAATAATAAATAAACTTGTAGAAACAAAATAATTTGGTCTAAAATGGTTTATTTTTTTAGACAAAAAATTTGATACCAAAAAGATAATAATTAATCACTAATATTCAATTTTTGTTGCTAAAAATATAATGACGACATTTTTCGCAACAAAAATATTTGGTCCCCTAAATGTAATTTTGTCCTTAAATTTTGGTCTCTAAAACCTTAATTTTTTGTAGTGTGATAAGTGTTTTTCCATTTTAATTTTGCATTTCATAACTTATTTAAAAATGATAATTTAGCTAAACCTCAGGAGAATCTGTAATTTAGCTACACCTCGGGAGGAATATGTAATTTAGCTAAACCTCAAGGGGGTGTAGGTAATTTGTCCTTATTTGTCAAAAGGGCATTTTAGTCAATTTATGATATCCGTTAACGGCATTAATTTTTGAAAATCTCAAGGGAAGTGTAGGTAATCTGTCCTAAAATAAAATGAACAACACAAAAATATGAATTTTGTCGAGATTCTAGTTAACCATACTTAAAATGAATCTCAACCACACATTGATGTGATCCAAATTTGGGTTAGTAAGAATTATTAGAGAGATCAACAGCAGATTGTCTTTCCCTTTCAAAACACACCCCACCCCACCACTTCTCATCCACAGGCAAGCAAGCAGTACTTACTTTTTCTTTCCTTATTCACTTTTTCTTATTCTTCAAGTACCCCTCTCCCTCTCTCTCTCTCTCTCTGAAATCCAGGTTGGTGAAGATGGTGTTGTTTTGAGTACATTGAGTATTCTCCAAACTTTATTTCACTTGCTTTACACGTACTCTTACCGGATTCTTATACTACTCATCCTCATTTTCTGTTTCTACTTTATACATCATTTTATTTTTTGGGCATTGAAATTTTAATGTTAATGCACTGTAATCACCTGATCTCTAACATGTCATGATGTGTGCATTTTCCCTCTTTGATTCATGAAGATGTTCTTCAAGTAATCTCTCTCTCTATTTATATGTTCCAAGTGACAGAATCTGTGATTTCAATCTGATCGATAACCAGTTCTATCCAAAGAAAGTGCCACCATGCCTTTTGGATTGGTCTCAGCATGGAACAAGCGAAGGAGAAGCAAGTCCGAGGATCACATTGACCCTTGTGTGTTCTACCTCTACTTGTTCTTCTCATTTCTAGTCCTTCTTGTATCATCATCTTTTTAAATGTTGTTCATATTTTTAATGTTTTGAGGGTACCCTGGCTTTTCAGGGATATATAAACCTGTGGAGGATTGGCAACTCAAGGATCATAACCCACCTGCTAAAAGACATATAAACCTGTGGAGGATTGGCAACTCAAGGATCATAACCCACCTGCTAAAAGACGACATGGATCATCAGTTTTCACACTCAAGGAAATGGAGGAAGCAACAAACTCTTTCAGCGAGGAAAATTTAGTTGGGAAAGGAGGATTTGGCCGAGTTTACAAGGCCATTTTGCGGTCTGGAGAGGTAATCTAAAACTTTTCTTATCAAGGTAGTCCCAAAAACACAAGGGAAAAAAGGGGGGGGGGAGAAAGATATCATGATTTTAAATAACAATATTCGAATATGTATCGGTATCAGGATACAATTATATATTGGTTGAATAATGGTATAGGAAGTCCAAAATCCCATTACGAAATGTAATGGACGATATTTAAAGCCCTAGGTGATATTCTACAACTGTTGATTCTATAAAACAAATTGTCCTCCTTGAATCCGAGTCTCTTGACATAATTTCTTCAATTGGGTGGCTATTTCTTGATGTTATTAGTCATATTCTTTTCTTCATAAGAAGGAACTGATCAAAAACTATCTTAACTCCTAACATAATTTTTTTGGACACTTAAGGTTGTTGCAATCAAGAAAATGGAGCTACCACCATTTAAAGCTGCCGAAGGGGAACGTGAGTTTCGTGTGGAAGTCGATATCTTGAGCAGATTGGACCATCCAAATCTGGTTTCCTTAATCGGCTATTGTGCCGATGGAAAGCACAGGTTTCTAGTTTACGAATACATGCACAACGGGAACTTACAAGATCACTTAAATGGTTGGTTTCAACTCAAAAACCTGTTATCTCGTCAAATTCCTCAATCTAACAACTATCTTTAATGGACTCTAGGAATCGGAGAAACTAAGATGGATTGGCCGTTAAGGCTCAAAGTGGCAATTGGAGCAGCAAGAGGACTTGCTTATCTCCATTCAAGTTTGGCAGTTGGTATTCCAATTGTTCATAGAGACTTTAAATCCACCAACATTCTTTTAAACACCAACTTTGAAGCAAAGGTAGGTAATTTGAACCTCCTTTTCTTGATAGTAAATGTAGTCAAGCTAGGTAATTTTATTAATGAGGCCGTTTTTGGAGGCTTTACAATCGGTTTTCACAGATATCAGATTTTGGGCTTGCCAAATTAATGCCAGAAGGCCAGGAAACCTATGTGACTGCTAGAGTGCTAGGTACTTTTGGCTATTTTGATCCTGAGTACACATCGGTACGCATCTTCTTGTCTGTTTTGTATGTTATTCAACATTGTTTCTTCAAATTTTCTCAGCAAATATCTTACTTCTCTTCATAACTTAACACCTTGTGTTTTTACTTTTTACTTTGAAGCTCTATTTCCTATTTCGGTATGTCTAAAACAAGAAGTAACTACCACAAAAGAATAAGTAAAAACATCATCATGAAATAAACTAAACAAACAACACAAGAATCAAAAACAGAGTTTTCTTCGACCATTGAGATCATATACATGAACTACATGTGAGATGGCACGAAGTTAGGTAAGCTAGAAAAATTATAGTGACTTTTCCTCTGGTCTAGCTAATAAAAATGCCGTCACACCATGAGTCTTACCTAAAATGATAATGATATTCCTCCAACCAAGGTCGCTACACAAACTTGCAATCATACGATGTTAAAAGGGACCCGATATTTTTTCTTGATTGGCACTAGGATGTCCGGATCAAAATCCGACTAATCCTCAAGGGTGCACAAGCCCTCAGTAAGGAGTTTCTACCAAGTGCACCACGGTTAATTCAAGGATTTTCTCCCAGTCCAATGGCCCCAAGAAATTGTTAGCACCTAAAAGATTCAATCCCTGAATCTTAGAGGGAGCACACTCCCAAGACTCAAGGTCTTGCCACCAGGCCAACCCCTTGGAGTTAAAATGGAACCCAATATTTTTGCAATCAAATGTCATCATAAAGGTTCTAATTGTTTTAAAGGTCATGCATCTTTTCCCCATACACTCAAAATAACAATGTTTACAACCTGAACTGTATATGCAAAAACTACTCAACTGTTCGACATGATTCAGTGATATCATGTATAAGAAAATACTCTCTTCTCTAAAGACCGTCATGTAAGATGCTTGGATTTCTGCATAAAGATAGCCAACCCGAGTTTATAATATATAGGGTTTTAATATTTTTCCTCCAATTTTTAGGCACTTCTTAACTACTTAGTTTGGGCATTAATATTTTTTCTTTGTAAAGTTTGGTACATTAATTAAAGAACACAATTTTCTTTCTATCAATGATATCAAGTGATTATCACTGGGGATGAGGAGGGGGACTTTATTTCATCTCTCATTAGCAAACAAGAGGAAACGTAATAGGAGGTCCTTTAAGGATAATGAGCTATCTATTTGGTAGCTCTGAAAGGATTTTTACTCATTTCTCTGTGTTTTCTTGGATAAGAGTATTGGCCTTTCTCTATTTTATCTTTAACGCAATTTATAGTTGATTTGTACATACCAGTGGAGGTGTAGCTATAGACTTCTGCTTATAATATATACCTTCGCTTAAATAACTAAATCAAAGAGGGTTTGAGCTTTGGATATGTCTATTTTGGCAACAGACAGGAAAACTCACTTTACAAAGTGATGTATATGCATTTGGAGTGGTTCTGCTCGAACTCTTGACTGGAAGGAGAGCCGTGGACCTGAACCAAGGACCCAATGATCAAAACCTCGTACTCCAAGTATATTTCCAATCATCCTACAAAATTCTAGTTGTCTATTTCTAAGTAAGTACTAAATTTATCATGAAATAGTAATGGGTGCTTCTGTAATGTTTTCAGGTGAGGCATATATTGAACGACAAGAAGAAGTTGTGCAGGGTGATAGATCCGGAGATGCGCAGGGGTTCCTACACAATGGAGTCCATAGCTATGTTAGCAAACCTAGCATCACGCTGTGTCCGTACTGAAAGTAGCGAGAGACCATCAATGGAAGAATGTGTAAAAGAACTCCAACTCATTTTCTACACAAATTCTAAAGGCTTGGGGATGCCTATGCATGCATTCAGAATGATCTAGAACCCTTGTAGAGTGAAAATCTTACATATCAATATCCAGGCACTTGTGAGATGTGATAAAGAAGTCTATACTGTTGACTGAAGGTAACTTAAGAAAACCAAGGAAAAGTGAGAAATAAAAGAATTCAGCAACAGTGAGGGAATATTTCCTTGTATATCTTGTTTTCATTTTAGCACTATTATTTAGTTCAGTTCAATTTGTGGATATTTTTTCTACATGATTGTAAATGTATAATTTAATAACAAACACATGTAAAGCTGTAACATTTTGATCCTACTGAATAAAGTTTGCGTCAACTTATGATGGAAGAGAAGAAAAATACTCTACATCTTCAATGAGTTGGTAATTGAAGACCTACGGGAAAAAAATGGGTTCTTAAAATCATCCTTAAAATATATACAAATTCTTCAAGAAAATACTTATGATCTTCCTGCTTCTCTTTGTTCAGTAATACAGAGTTCATACCATGTTACATAACAAAAAAATGGAAGAAAACAGGCAATATAGAAGCCAATAAAATGTTTTCATTACCTCTTGCCAGAAACATACAAATCAGTAAATAGTCTTGATTCTTTATCATTATACACTAAAATTCAATCAGCCATTATTTTTTAAAAACATTTATTTTCAATGGATTGGAAGCAATTCTTGGACCCTTGACTTAAGGGTGTTGGTATTTCAACTCATGCACCGATCATGAAGTTTATGAGGAGGATTTGCGGTCAATCATCACCATTTCAAATCACCACCAAAATGTATAATTGTAAATGCCTAATTTATCTACTTCACAGGAATCATAAAAATTAGAAAAAGAAAAATCCATCCCAAAAATGGTAAAATATAAAACACAACTATCCATATTGGGAAAAGAAAATATAAGATATATGACTATTAGAGGTTTGAGAAATTCTATACAAATGTCGTGGTTCTAGATCGGGTGAAATGGTGAAACAGAACTAACATAATTGATCCTATATAGAAGGGAGTAGGATTTGTCTAATTATGTTTGTGATATTGTCAAGAATGGCAATCAGACAGTTTCAAGAGTATATCAAGCAACTTACTAACAAGGGGGGAGGGGAGAGAGAGAGAGAGAAGTTGAGTATATCCTTGCAGCAAAACAGAATATCTATCTCATCTATTGTCCAGAACATTGGTTAATTTGGTTGGGTGGTAATGCCTATTAAAAGAAAATTATGGTTCTCTAATGACACTATGATAAAAAATCATCACTTAAAAAATGAGGATTTCTGATCTAATTTTCCTACAATAGGACAGATCTCAACCAAAATACATTACAAAGTACATGAAGACCTATTCAACTATTCAATTGACCTTTTACCAAAAAATAACCCAACTGGGTAATCAACACAACCAGATTAGGCCACATTCTGAATCTGAAGAAATGATCTTCATGCAGTTCTTTAGAGAAATTTCAGGGAACGAGAAAGTAGAAAACTATAGAAAAGATGATATATATTCTTAACTTGGAGAATGTACAACAGTAATTCACATGTGTATTTGGAAGATGTAAGGGGAGAGCAAGCAAAAAGTAAAAACAATTACGGACGTAATGAAAAGCTTCTTTGGCAGAGGTAGAAAGGTTTAGTGGCAATTCCCTGTACCTTAGCTAAGTAGGTTCTGATTTTTGCATATCTGCTCGTTAAGAAAATTCTTCATTAGAATTGGAGAAGTCTGAAGGGCTGTCAAAGACTTGAAGCTCCTTGCACATCAAGTGCTTACGTCTTTGCAACATCAACAGGATCAAGATGCTATCAGTTTTAACAATACTATAACCTGCTTTTGCATACATGTTTAATGGAGCTGTATCAATCATTCTGCAGTGCAAATAAACTTCCCTTGAAGCACTCATCTGAGAAATTAGTTCCTCACTTGCCTTCAAAAGATGCCAACCAATGCCTCTCCTGAAATTTTTATGAGCCAATTTTAGAATTGGGATCTTATTCAATCATTTTATGCAACCTTTTAGGCTTTCAAATTTAAAAGTAGAATTATGCCTCCAAGTAACTATTTTAGCAACATACAAGCTGTTAGAAAGTTATTGATCAAGAGAACAGAAAATAAATAAATACAAGATCTGATTTTATTGACCAACATTAATGCTATTAATAGTGGATCAAAACCAAGTATGGACCTGGAACATCTATGGAGAGGGTTGGTGAGACTAAAAGAAATTCCACATGAAACGTTAACTATATCAGGGATTTTACTCAGTTCAGGACATCAACTTAAATATACACCATTTGTTTCTCATCTCATGCCAGTTAATCTTACGTTTTGGTTGTAGGTTAAGTTTTTTGCATGTTGAAACCCTGACTTCAAGTAAGAAATTCCAGATCCATCAGGAAAAGAAAAAAACAAAAGAAAAAGGAGCAATTCAATAAAGATATAATCAAGTATGCAATCATGACTTGGACATTATACTGACTCTTGCACAGCAGTCCACTTTACAACATAGTGCCTTCAAACCAGGCAGGTAACAAATGACAAGGACCTTCCTCCTTTGCTATGATGGACACCCGTGTCTTGAAGAACAATGACACCCGCATATGTGCTCAAAATACAGTATTAAATTTAAACCCTTGTTTAGAACGCTATATCTCTCCTTCACCTTAAGATGTCGTTCATCTAATTGTATAAAACCAAAACCTTGGTCATCTTATGCACGCTACACATGCACTAGTATCACCACAATGTTAAGAATTCGAAAACTGACAGATGAGATTTCTTTCGTCTTAAGAGAAGACTGAAATCTAGAGACTAGGTTGCAGCTACTAGGTTGGATGTCTAACCAAAATACCACTCAATTGAACATTGTCATATATTTTATGTTTTCTTAAAATGCCAGAGAGCATTATGCAGCTTGAATTTTATTTTACTAAGTCCAGTACTAGTAGCCTAATTAAGCTAAAACAACACTATTGTCAGAGGGAAAACACAATTGTAGTGTTAACAAGACAGAATTCTCGGAACCTCAACATCAATGAGTTGAAAAAAACGGATCACACGAATAATAAATTCCCACAGTTTCACAATACTACCAGATTTAGCAATTGTTTTCCTCAAAAGTGTCATGCTATAGCTTCCCAATGAGAAAAATTTTCTGCCTGTCCTCCGATAACTAGTGCAAAAAAATTAACAAACACACAAGCCCCCTATCACCCAAAACCAAATTGAGGATCAAATTTCACCACAAAGAGCATAAATCCCACATATACATTTCTAGATATGCCAATTGATAAACCCATCAAAATTCAAGATTATATCAAACAAGCATGAAAGAATGAAAATTTGAAAAGAGAACCCAAATTCCAAAATCCCAAAAAGTGAAGCATACCTCCTTAGTGGCTTCTTGACAGTCATATTACAAATATATGGTGAATCCATTGGAGGAGTGGGTGTAGGAGGAGAAGCATTAGCACCCCTTCTATCAAAAGAAACCTCCACAGTCCCTCCCAATTGCAAATTCTCATCTTCATCTTCTCTGTAGAAGCCAATGAGAGTGGCAGTGTAAGGCATTAGAGTCCTCCTCTCAATCAAATACTGCTTCACCAAGAAACCCAAAACAGTGACATAAGCAGAAGGTAAAAGCATAGACTCTGCAAACGATTCGGACAACAGAGCAACCACCATGTCCAATTCGTGGGATTTCATTACGCGAACCCACATCGACCCAGATTTCAAATCTTGGTAATAAGTGAAATCCTCGAGGTATTGGAGCTTGTGGAGGTCGTCATTGGTGAGGAATCGACCAGTGCGAAATGGGTCTTGGAGGGTGGGTGATGAGGAGGTTGAAGAAGGAGAAGGAGAGTGGGAGTGGGAGTGGGAGTTGGAGAACAAGAGACTGAGATTGTAACGGTTTGATTTGGGGAAGAAGGGAAGAGGGTGAGAGGGTTTAGGGGTTAGAAATGGGGTTTGGTGTGGTTTGAAGGGGGTGGTGGAACATAAGTGGTGGTGATGAGGTTGGGGTTCAAAGGAGAAACAGAGAGAAACCGTCGCTGCCATGGAATAGGATGGAAAGAGAGAGACTAGTTCTGGAAAATTATACAATATTTTATGGGCTTAAAATATAAATTTTAATTTTAAATTAAATATTATATATATATATATATATATATGAAAGTGTTTTTTATTATTAGGGTAATTACTAATAAGTTTTTAATAGTTGGATTTAATTTTTATCAAATTTTATTGAAAATAAATCTTAATAAAGTTGACGCAAAAAATAATTTTTTATAACGATATTTTACATGTCGCTAAAAATTAATAATTAGTAATATTTTGTCAAAAATTTATAAATTGCAGTTAAAATTTATAATTTGCAAAGTTTTTCTGTGACGAATTGTTTAAATTATCGTTGAAAGTTAAAAATTAATAATTTTTTTGTGACAATTTTTAAACCATCGCTAAAACTTTTAATTAGTTACATTTTTTTATAACAAAATTTTTAAAATATCGCTAAAAATTATCAATTAGTGACTTTTTTTAAGAGAAAATTATTTATAAGTCTTATTAGGGAGACTTATGCTACATATGGTCCTAATAAAAAACTTATGTTCCCATAAGTCCTGTGGGAAGTTTGTTGACACATTTACCCTCAATATTAGTTGTTAATATCATAAATAATAGTAAAATCATATATAGGAAATTGAATGTTACCGTAGATCATATCCATATAAACGTAACGTAACGTGACACCTACATAAACGTAACGTGACACCTATACGTAACGTGACACCTACATAAACGTAACATGAAACTTATGATTTATGATAACATGCAATTTGGTAACATGCAATTTCCTACCATAGATCATATCTACATAAACGTAACGTGACACCTATGATATATGGCAACATTCAATTTCCTATATAGGAAATTGAATGTTACCATAGATCATATCTACATAAACGTAACATAACGTGACACCTACATAACGTAACGTGACACCTATGATCTATGGCAACATTCAATTTTCTATATAGGAAATTGAATGTTACCATAGATCATATTTATATGAAACGTAACGTGACACCAACATAAACCAGCAACATTTTCACATTCAATTTAAAAAAATAAAAACTCATTAAGTTTGCGAAACGTAACGTGGCACGTTACATTACGTTTATATAGGTGTCACGTTACGTTACGTTTATATAGGTGTCACGTTACGTTACGTTACGTTTATGTAAGTGTCATGTCACGTTACATTTATGTAGGATCTTTTGGAATATATTCCTATCTAAATAAGACTTGAGACTCTATAAGAAATTACACAGGACTTAGCCTATCATAAGTATCTGAAAAAGAACTTATAAATAAGTCTCCATTTTTTTAATAATGTTTGATAAAAAATGTCATTAATTCTTATAGGACTTAATGTAAGTCTCCCTTTTTATTAAGTCAACCATGGTCCTAGGTTTAAATCTTGTTTCCTTCTTACAACTACTTTTTTTTTTTTTTTCCATTTTTTGGCAAAGATAAGTCTATCTAGCGTTCCCTCGCATAAAGGGCTACTTTTGAATTGGCTCTCTTGTTAGGTAATTACCGAGGCGACTAGTATGAATCGTCGCTGATGAAGTAAACCATCCCATTGATTAGTATGAATCGTCGCTGATGAAGTAAACCATCCCATTGATTATGAGGATCGGATCTCCCTATAAAGAATACCCTTTCTAGGTTGTGGATCGTTAGCCTATCTATAATAAGGGGTCCTTTCTTGCTCGTAAGCGATTTAGTTTTTAATAAGGACGTTTAGGCTTTACTAATAAGTTAGAAAGGGCTTTTTCAGCTTACTTTGCTACAACGGACCAAAGTCATTGTCTACAGGCTTCATACCACTCAGGAGGGTGACAGACCACCCAATTGTTCTTCCGTTTGATTTCTTTTCGACCTATGGTGGAGAAGAACCTATGCTTGATGGGCTCGAGAAAGCCTTAGTTTCCCAGGGTTTCCGAAACCCCTTAGAAAAGAGATTGATGTTCCCCTCACTCCAGCCTTTAGACGAATCGAGCGGCGAAATGCTAAAGCGGTTAAGTGACACTGAAAAAGATAAAAGCAGGTGAATTGATTTTCATTATTCCCATAAATACCCTTGCAAATTTCACTTTACCCTACTTTGGGTCAAGGACGATTTAGCCCTTAACATTTGGAAATGACTACATAACTATCACGTGATTTGTGGATTGAAGTGCACCATTAAATATTCTATCCAACTTAACAATAAATGTGAAATACGTAACAGATATAAAGGAGTTATCTGCTTATTTTCAAATTTTAAGGGAGGCAAATTGTACATGGAATAAAATACAGAGGGTTAAAATGCACTTTGTCTTCGAAACAAACGACAAAAATACAGGGATATTTTTGTCTTTTTATTAAATCGTTAACAGGCCTAACGGTGTACTTTAATTCACAAACTACAAAGGGGTTATGTGGTCATTCCTAAATGTTAGGGTGATAAATCGCGCATGACCCAGACCACAAAGAAATAAAGTGAAGTTTGCCCTATATATACTAAAAATATATATATTAAAAAAAATCAAGAATTTGATTTTTGTACATAAAATAAAATTTTAATTTTGTCAATTTAAATTATAATCTTTAATTTGTTTTCAATTTAAGTTTTTTATTTATATTCATCAAGTAAAACTAAGGAATAAATAGTATTTCAGTCATTAAACTCAACGAAAAATGTTATTTTAGATATTTTATATACACTTATATTGTGTTTAACGAGTAAAATATATTGTTGAAAATCAAGCCACGTTTTCATCAGATGCCATATGCATCAAGCCCTTTTTTCTTTATTTCATATGCTTTCGGTGATTATTTAATTCATATGCTTTATTTAATTCATATGCTTTCGGTGAGTGTATGCTGATATAGATATTGAGTTTAACGAGTAAAATATATATATATTTTTTTTTGTTTAACGAAATAGGCGAATAGTCTAGATTAAAAATATATCAAAATATTAAGATTTAAATTTATAAAATTAAAATTTTAAAATTTATTTTGTTATAAGAATCAAACTTTAAACTTTTGTTTTTTTTATTTGTTTACTTTTTTATGATTATCTGTTTTTGTAATTAACATGTTGTTAATTCAAGTAAGATTTATTAAATTTATATATTTTGGCCCCTTTTGTTGTGAGATTTTTTTAACTAAAATAGTAAAAAATCAAAACAACCAATCATATCACTATATGCTAAATTAACCAATTAAACTTGAATATATAAGAATGTCATCAAAAAGATCAGACAACTCATATTTTACACAGGTTAAACTTTTTCCAATTGGGGGTACTAATTATCCAACCCTCATTTTTAGCTAGAGAAATTTTACTATACACTCCGGAAAAGGTGAACCAATTCTATTAATGAAAACAAGAAAAAAAATAAAGAGATTTATGTGTAGATTTTAATAGATAAATTTATTATATAATAGATCATATAATAATTAATGATATTTTTTATCAAATACTATTAAAAAAGTCACTAATTGTTAATTTTTAGTGACAGTTTGAAAATTATCACAAAAAATATCACTAATTATAAGTTTTAATGACAATTTAAAAAAATCATCACAGCAAAACGTTAATAATTTTCAACTTTTAACGATAGTTTGAAAAATTCGTCACAAAAAGTCACTAATGTAAGTTTAGTGACAATTTATAAAAACGTGACCAAAAAAGTCGCTAATTATCAATTTTTAGCGACATATACAAAAAAAATTATTACAAAAAATTATTTTTAACAACAATTTTACTAGAACTTATTTTTAATAGAACTTGATGGGAATTAAGTCCAATTATTAGAACCTATTGGTAGTTTATCCAAAAAATATTTTAAACGACGACGTCCCATTGAGAGGGGAAAGGGCATAACTTCAACAACGGCTCGCCACGTGGCATATGGTTATAGGAGGATTGCTTTTTAGTGTTTTTTTTTCTTTGAAAATTATAAATCAATCTTACTTTTCAAAAAAAAAAAATACAGATTTATCAAAAAAATCTATGAGTTTCATTATTGTAAAATTTACTATGAATTTATAATTATTTTTAAAATTTACATTAATATGGTATTTTTTCTTCTTTTCATCATTTTATATACGAAGTTATTTTTTATTTTTAATAAGGAAAATTACAATGAAAAAAAATAAAAATAAACAAGGTTTGACAATAAATCCTAAGTTTTAATTTTATAATTTTAAATCATAAATTTTTGATTTATTTTCAATCTAAACCAAGTAAAATTAGCGAAAAAATAATATGTTAATTATTAAAGTCAACTAAAAATTATATTTTAAACATTTCATTTACATTTATTCTAAGTTTAATGATTAAATAATATTTTCTGTCAATTTTAAATAAACAAATAATTTAGATTGAAAACAAATTAACACCCGCCTACCACCACCACTCACTCGCTACCACCCACCACCCACCACCGTCACCCACTCGTCCACCACCACCAACCACCCACCACCACCAGCTACCCACCACCCACCGTCACCACTTTCTACCACCGTCTTCCGCCGCCACTTTCCATTTCTCATTCTTTTTTATATTTTTAAATTTTTTTAAACATTTTGTCAATTACCAAATGCGTTTATAGTTTATGTTTTTCTAAAAATAAACAAAAAATAAACAAAAACCAATTTATAAAATTTTTGTAAATATAAACTGAAAACGTAAACGTTACCAAACACACCAGTGTTTTGAAGAAAAAAAAAATGAATGGTAAGTTTTTTTTAACATAAATTATTCAATTTTTTTATAACAAACGTAATAAATTGAATAAATTATGATTATGAAATTGACTTTTTTTTTTTTGTAGATGATATATACGAAAGGCTTGTATGATTCCAATTAGGGGAAATTGCAAATTGGTGGTATGACCAAAACAAATTGCAAAATCATGAAAAAGTTTCGCTTTAATTATTAAAATTTGTAAGTTTTACTATTGATTCACAATTTATTTTGAAAATTTACGCTGAATTATAATTTTTTCTTTGAATTATCGAAATAGTATCCGTGATGAACTTTGCAAGTTCAAACAATAGCCACCAGTTCAGATCTAGACCAGAGACAATCTAGAGTCTCCTATAAACAATACCTGTCAAGATCATAAAGACTCGATCGTGGCAAAGTACCTAAAACTAAAGGGCTAAGGCTTAGCAAACCCTTTCTTTTGGAGGGTGACATGGGGCTCCCAAAAAAAAAGACTTTTGAACACCATCCTCCCTCAAATTTTTAATAAACTAATTAAAAAAAAAAAATCAGCTTAAAAGCTGCCAAAGAAACATTTGTAAGTAGGAATTCCCATCCAAATAAGCTAGGTAAAGTTGCTTTGGATCCCCAACAAACAACTCAATGCTGCCAATGGACCCCAATTATACCAAAGAGTTGAAAAGTAAAGACTGATTAGGGGGAGAAAAGGAAAAGGGTGTTCTTTCTACCAAAAAGTTCATTGAATTTACAAATTAAATGAGGGCAAAAATAAAAGCAAAGCTTAAGAACCCGATGATTATAGCTCTTCATATCATTAATAAATGTACAAAATGAGAACCAAGATATGTAAAAAATTGTAAGGCAAGAAACAAAAGAACAACCAGTCTGCCTTAAATATCCTCAGCACTGCACATTAAACTCATTTGTACACACATATCATCTATTCCCATTCCTTCCTTCCACAAGATCCATACCTTTGAGTTAGAATATCTTGAGGCATTCAAAGTCAAAATCAATCATAGTCGAAGAAGTGAAGTGAGTTTTGGGTAATCTCACGGGTCAAGTCTTCGCCCCAGGTCTGTTTCTTCCATCTCATTTACTCTTTATCACTTCCACAATTTGACCACATGCGGGGGAGTATCAAAGTCTCTCCACCTATAACTAATTGATTTTGGTTTGAATGACTCCGAGTATTCTAACAATCTGTGTCCTCTTCTTTTGGCTCTCTTCAAAAGCAATAATCACCACAAAAACAGAGGAAAACAACATAGAGATAAACAAACCCTTGTATTATCACATTGTGATGCCTCATGGGTTCACTCTCTAAATCTTCCTAGACCTCCCATCTCTTCATCACATCCAACATTATCTCATTCCAAGTATCCACCGGACCCGGCAAGCACCAGTGGACACAGTCATTTTGAACCCTCTCTCCAATTCCATTAGCAAATGGATTAGCATACATATACGGTCCAGGATGTCCATCTGGTCTCATCAATGACAATTTTGTGACATCCAAAACATCCAACCTTAGTCCTCCAAAATTCTTCGCCTTTTCCTTTGCAGCCCTGACTTCCACCACCTCCACTCCTCTCATCTCCGCGTCCATCCCTTCAAGCTCCTTCTCGCCTTCCATATAAGGCTGAGTCTTGGGACAAGCCCCAAACTTGTCCCACTCGCCCTCAAAATGGTGAGGCGAGAACGTAGTCACAATTACACCAATACCGTTGCTACTACTACCACGCCTTTCAATTATGGCATTCAGGGTGGTCTTAAAAGCTTTCCTAAACACATCATAAAACCCGACCTCGGTGTAATTGAGACCTGTGCAATAATGGCAACCTAGTACTGATTCACCATTGTAATACACAGCTGGATGTAAAAACCAATGTCCCACTGATAAGACAATTATGTCCATCCGATCCATATCAGACGCCCACCGTTCATCGACAGAATCCAAGTACAATCTATTATAATTCACACTCTCAGACTCTGTTTTTTCAATTCCTTTAACAAGAAATGGTGACCAATAGATTGATACAGTGACATTGTGAGAATGAAAATGCCAGCGACGAAACTTGATGTCGTCATCACCATTGGTGTAGACAAGTTTGGGGGGAGAGGCAGAGGATAACATGCAGAGAAGAGACTCCAATTGGTTTCTAGCCATGGAATCACCCACAAAGGCCAAGTGTTTGTTTCTCAGGATTTGGAGGAAAGTTTCCGGGAAAAACCTGGGAAGTTTGCATTGAATGGGTTTCCATTTCCAGTAGAGGTAACCCAGGTCAGGCCTGCCATGGCTCATGCAGTTCTGCCCATCCTTGATTGTACCACAGCTTGTGCCATTGTACAGAGGGCCCACTTTGTCTGGGACCCATTTTCCATTGGAGTAGTCACATGCCATTTGAGCATTAATAGCCCTCTTCTCTTCTGCAAACAAAAGACAACAACATTATCAAAGAGAAAAGATAGGGATCATGAAAAAACTTTCATGAAACTGGTCATGAAAAATTTATGACCCTTGGATTATCTTGATTACTGTGTGGTGTTTATTTTAAGTGTAATCCAAGGGTCATAAATCTTTCATGATCATTTTCATGAAAGTTTTTTTCATGATACCTAGCATTGCTCATTATCAAATAAGATCTTGCTAGTTAGTTCACCTATGTTATATCACCCATTATTTCAAAAGTTCAAAATCTTAAGAAATGAATCCAAATAATGTTTTGTGCGAAGACAAACAAAACAGAATGTACAATGACAATGATAATAAGAATGACAAGATTTGAACCCAAAATCTCCTAAATGCTCAGATTACCATGATACGTCACTAATTGTCCAAAAGCTTAATTGCTTAGTAAATGAACACAATAATAAACTGTTTAATGGAACTTCTTACAAATTAAAAGTTAATAATAAGAATTAGAAACTAACCGCACCCGTTTCCCTTCTTAATAATCAACTTATTTAAGCTATTACTATCCTATAAAACTGTAAATATAAATTACACCAAACAATTTGACATAAATTTAAAAAGAAGAAAAAACTTAACAAGGCCAATATATATCAAACTGAGAATGTATACCTTTTGAAGTGGAAGAGGAGGAGGAGGTGGTGGTGGTGGTGGTGGTGGGGGTGTGTTGATGAAGCTGAAAAGTTGGTATGGTGAAGAAATACAAGGGAAGAAGAGAGATGAGAAGGAGAGCATATAGAGTCCATGGAAGGAGCTTCTTTGTGAGAGAGTGAGGTTGGTGTTTGAATGGGTTGGTTGTTGTTGAACCCATCTCTCTTTAGATCCTCTCTCTTTCCTCAGCTTTTTTGCTCCCCTCTCTTTATCCTTTTGTGTTTGCACAGCTGAGAGAACTTGAGGATTCTTGAGCTTGAGAAACTTTGGATTTGAGGTTCACAAGAATTCAGAGACTGTCTTGGGTTTTGGCATTGATAGATAGAGAGAAGAAACGAAAGGTTTGTGGATGGAGAAAGTTATTTGGTGGTTCTAGGCATAGTCAGGTGATGTTCAAGAGTATTATGATTGGGATTAAAAATACAACTCACTATTTGTGTTGAAATATAAAAAAATAATAAATAGCTTGACATGTGATAATTGATAAAAAGTGGGGATATATAACGCCTTTGAACCACCTAATAATTTTTCTTCGGACGGTGGGTTGGTGGAGGGTGATTTCAGTCAAAATCGCATCGAGAATCCCATTGGCCAGCTAATTTTTTTTTAAAATTTTGTAAAGCATTGTACTGAGTACTGACACGTTGACATGTTGTCTTCATACATGCTGGGGACAATGACATGTGTTTTTTTTTTTTTTTTTAGCTCTGAACTGAGTACTGACACGTTGACATGTTGTCTTCATACATGCTGGGGAAAATGACATGTGTTTTTTTTTTTTTTTTGAGCTCTGGACCATTGCTTGAGTGGTTTGGAGTGTCCTAAAAAAATGTACTTTTTGTCTTTTTGAATTAAAAAAGTTGAGAAAAAAATATGGAGATTTGGGTTAACTTTTTAACTTTTTTATAAAAAAATGTGTATTAAAATATTATATAAAAAAAAATGTGTAAGAGATGATTAGTGAGAGGTGGTCCCCCAGCTGTACAACCCGCTGGAGTGAATTGGCTATGGAAATTATTGCTTAATTTTTGTACAAAGCACTGGACGGTTTTGTTTGGCTTGTGGGGGTCATCACAGGTTCCATTTTAATAATCTGAACCGTTCAATGTGTGTAACTCATCGAACACTATGTATTTATAAAAAATCACGTTAATCGGATATCGATAGCTATCTGATCAGACTTATTTATTTTTCAATCATTAATTATACCACCATCCATTTGTTGTACATAACTGATTTGATCATATAGTTATCGATATCCAATCAATGTGATTTTTTGCAGACATATAGTACTCGACGAGTTCTACACATTTAACGATTCAGATTATCAAAACGGAATCTGTGATAGGCCCCACATGCCGAACAGCGTTGTGTGTACAAATCACACCCAATCCTTTCATTTAGGTGCACTGCCGCTGCACAGCAACTGGCTTGTTGTAATTCGGTGTGTACTTGGGCAGAAAAAAATTATTATTTTTTTTTTTGGTGAATAGTGATATCTTTTTAGATTTTGAAGTAATTTTTTGAATTTTTGGCTTATATAGTATAAGTCAAACCAGGCCTAAATTAGGTCTCGTTTGACAAGTGACTTTTTTAATTAAAAAGTAAAAAAATTATTAAAAAAATCAAAAGTCAACCATTTATATTAAGAATTTAAAGATTCTATTTTCTCTCTATTTTTTATATATTTTTTTCATAAAAAGTTAAAAAGTCATCGCAAATATACTAATTTTTTTAGCTCATATTTTAGTATTAAAAAGTAAAAAAATTATTAAAAAAATTAAAAATCAATCATTTATATTAAGAATTTAAAGATTCTATTTTCTCTCTATTTTTTACATATTTTTTTTTATAAAAAGTTAAAAAGTCATCGCAAATATACTAATTTTTTTAGCTCATATTTTAGTCAAATAATTAAAAAATTACTAAATTAACTTGTTCCTAAACGAGTTCTTAGTGGTATAATTAAGGCCAAGTTTGGCAACTCCAATATAATCCATCTTTTTATCTTTTTTTCATCACATCACCTCTCTATTTTTCTGTACATCTTTTTATAAAAAGACAAAAAATATACTTATTTAAATCATCCCAAACAACCCATAATTATTTGTATTTTTATAGTGCTGTAATTTTATTGTGTGTATAGGATAAGTTCTTGCGGTATATCAGAGTTGTATTATAAAAAAAATTGTCTTTAATGTAGTAATTGTTTCACTGCTACACTTATTTAAAATTTTCTTAATATTATTTGGTGGGTTGGGACAAGTTCAAGTGCCTTTTTAACTTAATTTTTATTGATATTCTCCCTGTCTCAAAATATTAGCTTTTTATTTTATTTTTTATTATTTTAAAATATTAGTTCATTTTTAAAATTTAAGGACTAAAATAATATAAATTTTTTATTTTGTCATTCTTTTAAATTAATTAATACAAAAAATATAATTATGACAATTGATATTCTCAAAAAAATTACTATCAAAAGGTAATTTGAAAAAATTAATATTTTTAAAGTGTAATAATTGTACGATCAAAAAAAAGTTAAATTCTCTAAAAAAAACTATTATTTTAGGATATAGGAAGTATAAGCAACAACATAATAAACGCCATGTTATAAAATATTATTCCAAGATTACTAACTCGTTTGACGTAAAAAAAAGCCAAAGTTTTTTTTTTTTTTTTTTTTGGCTAAAATAGTCCAAAAAATACAAAATAAACTTTTTAATTTAATAAGACAAAACATCATATCTAACCCATAATTATTTTATTTTTTCTCTCACAAAAATCAAAAAAATCAAAAAATCTATCCCAAACGAAGTTTTTTAGCCCTAGGCTAAAATAATCAAAAAGTCAACTCACATCCCAAACGAACTCTAAATAATCACTTTGAAATACTCATGAGAATGAGAATTAGGCCCCGTTTGTTTTGGGGTTAAATAGATGGAAGGCGATTAAGATGGAGGTGGGGTTATTTAGGCCTCGTTTGGGAACAGGCTAATTTAGTAACTTTTTGGCTATTTGGCTAAAAAGGTAGGTAAAAAAAACTTATATGTTTGGGATGACTTTTTGGCTAATTACGAAAAGATGTGCAAAAAGTAGAGAAAAAAGAGAATCTTTGACTTTTTTGTATGAGTTGTTAGCTTTTTGGCTAAAATGATAACTTTTTGGCTTTTTGGCTAAAATGGTAAGTCCCCAAACGGGGCCTTAGTGTTGTATTTTTTTGTAGAGTTAGGGAGGGGATTAGGATGGAGGAGGTGATATAGATGGAGGTTGGAAGGGGGATTGAGATGGAGGAGGTGGAGATGGTATTAGAAAAATAGTGAGGGGATTAGAAATTTTTTTATTTTTTCTATATTGGGAATTTTTTAAAAAATATTAATGTTTAATTTTTTATATTTTTTTATTTGTTTTATTATTTTATATAAAAATAATTTAACAATTCCTACACAACAACTATCATCAAAACAAACACAATTTTACTTTATTCCCTCACTAACAATCCCCTCACTATTAATCCCCTCCATTCTACCTCTGAAAACAAACGGGGTCTTAGGGTGTAATCCGCATTAGTCTCAACATATTTTGAGTCAAATTATAACTCAAAATCCACTTTTGCTATTTTAGCTAGTCACTGTTTTAGTACATACTGCATCAAACTCTCTATTCTAACTCAATCCTATTAAAATACTATTTTCTTATTGTATTTGTTATTCTTTTTTTAATTAAATTGATGAGGTGTCACCCAAATAATTCTTAAAAAAATACACAAAAAAAAATGTCGTTGACCAGTTGACCGATTAGGCTAATTTTGAACATTTTTCTTCTTCTGCTACAGGCACTCAGGGGACATCCGGGAGGATGTCCGGTGGATGAGAAAATATAATAAAAAATATATTAACCTGTCTAAAAAAATAATAAAATATTGAATAACTAATGAATAGTACCTCAACAATTTGTTGAGGTACTGTAACAAATTCAACAAAAAATTAATTTAGAAAAAATTTATTGAGATTGATAGAGGAAGAATTTTATAATTTATTAGTTATATTTACTTTTTTTGCTATTTTGCCCCAACCGATGCAGATGCTCTAAAAGTTTTGGTTGGTTCAATGAAAATTGTTTAACATTGAGTTGAATTTTTTAATTTTGTAGTTCAGAAACTCAAACAAAATATGTTCCAGTCAGATTTTGAGCTCTTTTGGGAAGAATAAAAAAAGTCAAAAGTCAGCTTTTAATTTATTTTTGGTCATATTATCTTTTACATTTTTTATACGTTTAAAAAAAATCAAAAAGTCAATTTTTAACTATCTTTTCAAACTATGCCTTTATTGGATTTATTGAGATGAGAGATTCACATGTAGTTTTAAAAAATTTTATTAAAAATTTATAAAATTCAATATTGTGAATAAATATTGAAAATTAGTGAAAATTATTTTATAAATATCTCTCCTCTTAATTTTTTTTTATTACAAAACGTGTATTATTAGTCAATTATTTTCTTATGCTCAAAAAATTAAAATATAAAAATATTTAAATATAATATTTTAGTTAGTTCAATTTGTGTCGATGTAAAAAATTTTAAAACTAAAGCATATTGTATGTTATGAAAAATAAATCGGAAATCAAAATTTTCTATCAGTCTATGCCTCCGTTTGGGAAGTGGGTTGGCTTTTTGGCTTTTTGGCTATTTTAGCCTGGGCTATTTTAGCCTGGTTTGGGAAGGGCTTTTTGACTTTTTTGGTTTTTTTTGTGAGAGATGATTGTAATGATTATGGGTTGAATTTGATATTTTATTTTTTGTGGCTAAAATAGCCTATTTTGTTTTTTGTGACTATTTTAACCCCAAACCAAGTTCCCAAACAATGCCTATAGCAGTCAAGTAGGCATTCCATTATATATATATATTTGCGAGAAGACTGATTTATAGACTCAAACTCACTTACAACAAGAATAGTAAGATCTAACAAATAGGCAACCATATCACATTTTTTTGCCACAATGTTAATTATTGTGACTTCAACTTGCAACTCAGGATTGAACAGGATACAAATCGGTGAATTTGACCTTTACATTGAGATTCTCAATCTTGAAAACTTAGTAACTTTTTTTTTTATCAGTAAAAAAAAGAATTTTATTGATGAAATTAACATACAGTAACTATGACAATACATCAATAAAAGAAGGCAAGAGCAAAAAAATATCATAGTATTGCTTCTTAATCCCAACTAGGTTGGTACTAAAAAAAATATTCAATGATATGCTAGCTCAAGCCAAAAAGTCGGTCAAGGACCAACAAACAAAGAAACAAAAAACAGAACTAGGCCCCAAAAAATCAAACCAACAAACAAAACACCAACAACTCACAACAAGATAAGTACCAAAAGCCACTAGTAACAAAACAAGCA